CCAATAGGTCAATCAATTAGAATATTCTCTCACCAATTAGCCTTACACATGGCATGTATCTGGTGGATCAATTGCTTTTACCTGTTCATCAAGTATTTACTTGTGCAGTATACATATCACCTTTCAACTTGTGAAAAAGGATCGCATTCTGAATTTTCTAACTTACTGTTACTCTACTGTTAGGTCCTTCATATTTTGATATGTAATGTTTTGATGATGCCACCCTATTTTGTTATGTCCCCTGCATTTTGGTATGTCCCCTGCATTTTGATCTTGTTTTTATGCTGGAGTAATTATCTTCTGTTTATGAAAAGAAAAAAACGTACCAAGGATAGAAAAGAAAAGAAAACGAAGAAAAGGTACGAATAATAGAAAAACAAAGAGGGTATAAAATAATGAATGTACCAAATAATGTTTGTTGGAACACAAAATGCAATAAGGCAATTATTTTTGCATTAATAGGATTTGTTATCCTACCAGTAATATAGTATTTGATACGTTATATGAGCAAAATGCTACTTGGCCGTATAAGGTTAAGAAATACATCTAAAGCAGTAATTTTGTCACACGATCACAAATCTCAACGATGGAGATTTAATCTCCAAAATTCACACCCACAAATTAGAGGCATGTTCGTCAGAAAAAGAAAAGAAGTGGATTACTAAGGATAAGAAATGAAGTGTATCTTCATCAACGGACAAGATCAAACATGAAGATCTATAAATACAAAAGGAAGCATGAGGAAGCAAAAGCGTGAAAGCAAGGAAAATCAAGCTAGAGGGAATTCACATGAGCTGAATTGCAATATCTAGCAAGAAAGGTGATTAACCTCTAGCTTGACTCATTCTTCACTAAGCTCTTAGACTAGCTCAGTATTTTCATATTTTTTTAGCTTAGTTTTTAGTTGGAATTCTTATTTCTGTGTATCTTCAAAACACTTGTAAAACACTTAGGAGGACAGTTGTACATGTCCTAAGTGTGAGTAGATAGGATAGAGTGCTTTTTGATCCCCACTGGATCAATTGAGAAAAACCTAAAAGATTGAGTAACTTGGAGTGGTGGGTACTTGATGGAGTATATGGCCCGGGAACCCCCGGCCCACAGACTCCTACTACTCCAATAAAGGCTCAATAGGCCCAGGAAGCACAACAGGCCCAAATCACGACGCCCAGAGTACAAAGCAACCCACAATGCGCACCAGGGGTGCCTTCGCCCCCCTGGCCGAAGGCTCTGAATCTCACAGAAGGGTCAAAACAGGAAGACAAGGTTACTAGGAGAAAACGACGAAAATCAGTAGCCCTCGGCACCTAGAGCCCTCAGCACTAAGGGGGTCCCCGGCACTCAGAGCCCTCGGCTAATCATCTACAACCGAGGGCACCTTTCTGACATAATATCCGCTCCACATGCGCGTAGATCGCCGTACCCAGTACGACGTCACATCCAGCAGCCGCATTAAATGTGGCCGCATGCGATTGCCAGCGCCAACCAGTTGAGGTGACCCCTCAGCCAATGGACGCTTGACACGTGTCTCCGTCTGGCATTTATTGCTACTATAAATAGCACCCCATTTCCCCGTTGTAAATCACGCTGAAAACACTGAATACACTTTCTAATATATTCTCTCTCTCTACTTATTTGCTCTGACTTCTCTCTAGTTATTCCCCGTAATAACCCCTCGGATAAGCTACCCCCCGGGTACACAATCCATCAGTACTCCTTGTGAAACACTTTCAATCTAGGTCGCTTTTGTGAGAAAAGGCTAGATTGGCACTAAACCAAGCATTCCAGCCCAACTGGTTGTGAGGTTACCGTGCATAGTGAGAGGTCTCAAGTTCAAAACTCGCTAGGCACATAAGGATTTGAAACTCAATGGAGTGGGTTTATGCCCTGATTACTCCAGCCCCCCCCCCCCCCCCCCCCCCCCAGACCCCCTGGAGTAAAAAAAACCTAGATTGGCACTAAGTGTATTGGGCTCAATACTTTAGTGGAAATCCATCTGGAATAGGGTGGGACTGGATGCAAGAGGATTACACCACCTCTGAACCAGAATATATTGTGTGTTGATTTTTCATTACAATCAACAAAGCGCACACACCTCACACTCACTCAAAAGCAGTTCTCAAAGAAAGAGCCTATTAATCAACAGTAGTCTCACTTCAGCCTACTGCTCAGTCAACTGCTCATTTAAAACTCTTTCTTTGAGTCATATGAAAATCACATTAGCCTCACCACATCACATCAAGGAAGCTTGCATTATCACATTTGTCAATCTCGAAGTTTCACTCATCAGTTGCCTCAGCAGTACCCTACTGCGGACACCACTGCTCAGCCACCTGCTCATATAAACACCTTCTTTGACTCAGCTAAGTATCTTTCCTGAACACACTCATCTAATAAGTTCATCTACTAGAAAGTTGCCATCACTATTAACTTAGAGGTCAAGACTTCTGTTGTGCATCCATAATCTCCCAAAAGATTGTAGATCACTCTCTCTAGAAGGAAAAAGTTTTCAAAGTCGAAAAAACTTTAAAAGTCTATTCACCACCCCCCTCTAGACTTTTACCTCTATCTGGGACCATCATCTACCGAATTTATGACTCGGTTCATACTTTTTATATTTTCCAACTCTCGCTCGATTTTACTACTCCGGTTGGTTCCCAAGTACGTAAGGTAAATAACCTCACCAAGAAAAACAATATACTATTGTTTGAGCAATTTTAAGTAAGCTAAAACTAATTTAAAAAATATATACATAATGATTGAGATCACACACAAGAACGATATAAACGTCAAGAGCTATAAATATTTTGATAAGAATCCTGAGTAAATTCAGTATTTTGAAGAGGAAGTGTTTCCCATTTTACAATGGAATTTTGCTTCTATTTTAATAACATAGCCTAAGTTGTTAGACCATTTCGTCACCGTTCTGATGATCTGGAAACTCCTCTGTGAAATCTGGAAACAATTGGACAATCTATCTTTATCCTCCAGTCCTTTGTTAACTCATCACTGTCCTCTTCTTCCTTTTCGGACGTTTCGACAGTTTCTCGACGGACTTGATCAACATGAAGAAGAAGATTATTTACATATTTTTAAAATTGCAAGGTGACAGGCAATTCATTGGCGAGCTGGATATAAAGGAATTTTGAGGTGTTGGGCGAGGAGGAGCTATGCACTTTTATAGTGACAATGTGGAGCATTTGAAAGACAGAATGATTTAGTCTCGAATGGTACAATAGATAAATGAAGACAAATTGTTTTATTTGGGGCAGCGATGTTAAGAGGGTGGAGAGCAGCCCAAGCCTCACATCATCAGGTTTGTAGCAAAAGTGACGATAGATCTAGGTGGAAGAAGCCGGTGGATGTCAGATGAGAAAAGAGAGATTGGGAATGGATAGCCCGCAATGCAAGATGACAGTTTATACGACGTGACAACGTTACATGTACTGGAGACTGGCCGACTAATATTATTGAAGCACATGGGGTAAGGAATGTGCTGATCTAAGTAAAGGAACAACCATGGATGCATGTGGAGGTGGAGACAAATGCTCAATTGATCATTTTGAGACAGGAGATAGACGAAGGAATTTCCTATTTCGACCTTATAGTTGATGTAATATTAAACATCTACTTCATTCTAAAGCACACGTCTGTAAAAGATTTGTGAGCAGTGTCACTCATACTTTAACTAGAGCTATGACAGCTATCCTTTCTAAAGCGAACGGTAGGGCGTTTTTTAGTCATGCTCCTAATTGTATTTCAAACCCTTTAGCAAATAATTCTAGGGATGGACCAAACCGGGTCGGCCCAGCCCTGAACCGGCCCGGCCCGGCACTGTGCGGGCCCGGCCTGGCCCGGTTACGGAATGGGCGGTGCGGGCTTTTACCCGGCCCAGGGGAGGCTAGCGGTTCGGGCACGGTTCACAAAATGGAAGGCCCGGCCCGGCCGGTTCGGGCACGGTTCGGGCCAACGGCTCTATTTTTAAAAAAAAAACTTTTGGCTACCAAACAGCTCCTTAGAGCCGTTGTGATTGAACCCCAAACGGCTATATAGCCGTTGGGAGCCTTCCTGGGGTCCAGGGGTGGGTTAGGGGGGTGGGGGTAGGGGTACAAAAAAACTATAAATACTCCATTTTTTCTATACAATTTACTACACATCTTCTCCAAATATTCCTACTCTCTAATCTCTATTCTCTACTAATTTATTATTTATATATCTACTTTATACTTAAGATGGAAAATCAAGATGCCATTATACAGTATAATTTTGATAAGCAGAAGGACCCGAAGACCGGGATGTGGTACGCAACTTGTAAATGGTGCGGGAAAAAATGTAGCATGGGGATTTCAGGCGGATACGGGATGGCAATGAAGCATATGAAGTCATGTGACAAAGCCAAAGCATCAGGAGGTGCATGAAGTTTCGATTGATTACAATTTACAAAATGTTTGTCTGTTGAAGTTTGTTTTAATTTTCAAATGTAGTTCCTATTTCATTTCAAATAAATGCACTTGAAGTTTGTTTTTAATACTTGTATAAAACTATAAACTATAAAATATAAATTATAAAAAAAAAATCTTTAACCGGCCCGGCCCGACCCGGCGGGTGGCCCGACCCGTGACCCGGGCGGGTGGCCCGGCCCGAACCGGACCCGTCCAACCCTCGGGCCGGTCCCGGGCCCATGTCATACAAACCGGCGGCCCGACCGGGCCTAGGCCCGGCCCGAGTCCACCCATAAATAATTCTCTATATTAATGAAAGTAGAGTATTTTTCAAATGAAGTTGTAATAACAATTTGACAATCCAATAAATATAAATATTTTGTACAAAGAAGTGTTTCAAAACCTTAAACATAAATATTGTGTTCTAAATATAAATTGTAATTCCAAATCACCATGGGTTGATTATTGAATACTGAATATTTTTTGTATTATTGTCATGAATATGTCAATATGGTCAATATGTTCCTCTACGTTCACTGACTATATAAAATATAAATAGTGAATACGGAGTAACTTTTTGCATAATAAATTATTAGGAATAATCATCAAACGTTGAAGGCATTAAACGTTGAAGGCATGGATGAATTCCTAGTTCCCATTAAAAAAGTGTCTGCTGCATAATAAATCATTAGGAATAATTTCATTGTGAAACAGTGACTCAGAGAGTCCACATACACGGATATTTGAGAAACTGAGAAGACCAGGCGGGCAAGGTCACTGATTAGGATTAAAAGTGAAGTGCAATGCTGAAGTACTTGAAGGAGGACAATCACAGAACTTGATAAATTGCATATACATTACGGAGCATAAATTAAGCAAGCTACTCATCATCCTTATAAGGGTATTCCTCAGGAACCTGCTTAATCAACTTCAACTGTAACTCGAAAACGTCATCCCCTCGAAGCATGTCACGGATCCAAGTGACCTCAGTTTTCATTGACACCTGAAAGCCAAAGAAACAATCAAAATATTAAAAGTTCAGTTTATTAGAAAATCCACCACTCAATCTTAGAATTCACTAATTCTCAATTACTCCAAGCCCGTTTGATAAACTAGTTTCCTCAATTTTGTTTCCAAGGGGTTCTATGTCTTACATGTCACAAGCACACTGGTCTATAAAATCTCCCCTTGACATTTTTGCTAATATGTACAGTATCTGTTAGTGCTACTACCACTAAAGAATAAACAAACACCAAAAGGGTGTCCTCAATTGCTGCATATTTATCTTAATTTTCAAAGTAATGTACTTTTGTGAGAGGAAATCTCCTTTTTAATCACAAATAATTCAAATCAATCTGGAAAACCTCAAATCTCAATCTGAAATTCAATACTCCATTCGGATGGCAGATGATTTGATTCTGTAATCAGGTATGGATATCACTTGGGATGACTCAAAGTCCAGTCGGTATGGATATCTTTTGAGATAAGCCAGTCTAAAACCAAACGCTAGTACCAAAAAATAATCTTATATACGAGGTAAGGAGCACTGAAGACGGGTCACGCAACAAATGGAGCCAAGAATAAAGTGGTGGAAGCTTGAGGAGCCCTCCAACTAAGCTTTGGACACAAGATGTTTTGTGAAGAACTATGTGGTATCAATGATGGTGAAAATGTGGAAGATGTGTGGTTATCATAGTGTTAGAAAAAATGGATAGCGGAGCATAGAGGCCAACCCTAAAAACACTACAGTGGTATGGCGGATAGCAGGATGACCACCGCTATTCAGACAATATATATGCACAATACTTATTAGATGTATGCATATAATTACATGCCACGCACATATCAAATCGAATAAATGATAAATGTGTAACTCAAAATCTCAAACCTCATTATAATTACTGAATTACCAAGAAAAAGGCACTAGTATCTTATACAAAGTAAAAGAATAATTTAAGTAGCTTATCTGTGAACTTTAAAATCAAAACTTCAGCTCCTGATAATTCTTGGTCAATCAGCAGTCATTGATATCTCCTTATAAGAAAATGAAGGTTGTTGGGATGCCTTGGACTACCCTAACGAGGAGATGTACGGTGTAGGTTTTGTTTGATCTTGATTTCTGTTTTAAGCTACTTTAGTTGAGTTTAGTAGCTCCCACCCACCCACCCCCCGAGTGTTTTGGACAGTGTAGTGAGGTTATTTTTTACTCTCAAAGCATCTAAATGCACAAAATACTCCCAAATCCCCTCAAAACTAGCACTGAAGAAGCCCTGTAAAATATAGTGGTGCTATAGCTCCCGCTGCAGAGACTATTTCTTCCCAATATAGCACACTCTACTGGCGCTAATGCCTACCTCTCTGCTATAGGCAATCTAAAACCTCCTAGCTCCTGTCTTGATGGAGTTAGGTGCAAAGATCAGTTCCAACTCCCACACTGGAAGCCTATAATTCAGGTATCAGGTTATCAGGTACAAGATCAATGGGAGTTTTACTAGTAGACCAAATGCAGAGAGGATATAGGCCAAATAAAAGCTTGAAAAAGAAGAGTCCAAAATGCTCATTAAATTATATTGCATGTGATGTGAGGTGGGCACCTAAAAAACTCACCATCTCAAGTGCACCTCTAACAACTCCACTTAAGATATTGCAATAGTAAAGACCTTGACAAGTATCAGGAAGCTCAACAAAGTCCACCAGTGGGTTGTCCTCTAGAATAAGACTGCATGTTGTTCCCTCAGCATCCCAATTGGTCACGGACGCTGTAATACCTAAGAACATTTTCAAACCAACCTGTTCAGAGAAAAAACAAGGGACATACTATCAGCAACTAAAACAAATATCACAGTGCATGATGGATAAATTTATGAGAAACAAAAATAAGTACATGTACTATGAAAAAAACCAGTACAGAAAACAGCCTAGCTTTCCATGGAAAAAGAAAAGAAATACAAAGACAAATCCGCAAACCATTCAATGAACAATAATGTGTTAATGGAACAAAAGGGGGGAGAACATAGATGCCTTCGCAATGACTTCAGCAGTTTCCTTGAAATCCACACATCTAGATACGTTGGACTTTGCAAGAAACTCATCAATAAGCCTAACTCCAATGTTGTACCCCCTGTAGTATGGAATGAACCAAATAAATTCAAACACCAAAGAACAAAATAGTAATAAGGATAACCAAAATAGTTAAAGAAAGATACATTTGATCAAGCTGCTTGTTGACTTCATCAACCTCCTCCAGATCGATGATCAGTTGGCGCACAATCGCGCCATACGTTAGAGTAAAGAGCTCTGCATTCTGGATCACGTATTGAAGATGTGAAACAAACAAATATATGTCACTATGTTCATTTTTATCACAAAAAAGAAAGGGTAATACTTTTTCCAAATGTTAAATTGCAATACCACTCGTTCTACATTGGCGAAAATGGCATCTCCAGATCTGGGAGCAATGGGAGCCATGGAAACCTCTGATCGAAACTGTTTTTCTGCTACAGTTGTTTGAGTATGATCTATGAAGGTTTAAATGGATTTGATTGGAATGAATTCACATGCTCACAACTTGAACAGTCAATAATTGGGAAAAATCTAGTTCTTAAACGAACGATTAATACAAGCACAACTAAGGGTGGTTCGGTATGGTATACCAGGTTTTTTACTCATGCCGAATACTGTACTAAAGTTTCAGTATATAGAAAGCGTATAACTTTACAACACCGAATGTCACAGTATATTGAAGTCCCGTATACAATAATTTCAGTAAGACACTACACTATACCGTTTCATACCGAATTTAAGCTATACCCAAATAAAGTACGGTATGGTATAATGTCACACCATACCACAAAAAATCTGATCTACACCATTTCTATATGCAGAAGGGTTTAGACTTTAGAGTGTGGATATATTACTATTCTACCATAACCATAACCACTTAAATAAACCACACAATTTGCAAATAATATATCTCGGCAGTAAACAACCAAACAAAACTCAAATACACATTAGTTCCTAAGCCAAGCTTCACACCCTACAGTAAAATAGAAGGTGCAAAACAGAAGCTGCACAAAAGCAGATAGAAGCTGCAAAATAGAATCACTCAAAAATTATATAGAGCAGTTCTTCCCATTTTCAATTGTGCCATAAATTTCTAAAATAGAGTAAATATTAATTTCAAAAACAGCTCTTTCTCATATTCAATTCTAAATCCTGTTTAACTAAACAATCAGTTCTTTTCCATTTTTTCTCCCTATTTTGGCATCATTGTCACAATTTGATTGTTGGGAAAAAAATTATGCTCACAAATAATGGGTAAAGGACTCCATAGAAAATATTTTAGAGGGCTAAATCATTTTAAAACACTGTGATTGATAGCATTAATACTGTGTTTTGGATTGAGATACTATAAAGCTAAATATGGAATGTTCTTCATATGTACTGGACACATTTTAATATGGACCTAGAGTTGAACAATGGAATGCCATTTGATAGGATTCATGTTCAATAGTCAATACAAAAGAAGTTATTACATTTGCTTAGCATTCACTAAATCCATCCTTTGAAACAAATGGGAATGTCGGATGCCTGACTAAAATCTCCCTATATCTTACATCGAAGTTCTTTGTAGCAAAAACTACTCTGAAAATGTGATTATTTTAAGAAAAATGAAAACCAGACTTAAAATTAGATAAAAATAACACATAAATTAAGAAACCCATTAAACAAAGTAGAACCACAGTTACAAAGTTCTAGGTGTGTAAAACTACCCTGAAAATGTGATTATTCAGAAGATCGAAATCAAAATGCAGTAAACAAAAAATCTTGAAACTTTGTGGGAGGATAGAGATTATATGTAATCAACACAAAAAAAAATCAATAAATCAAGTAATCAACTAATCAGTAATCATTTACAAACAACTACTACGGGTATGAATTAAGAATTAATTAAGAATTAATTCATAAAAGAGATTGGGAATAAGGAGTACCGGAAAGGCTGAGGGCGAAGGCGTAAGAAAGTCAGAGCACTGAGAAGCCGAAAAGGCCAGAAGGGACAGGCGTCCGAGCGACGGGCGTTGGCGACTTGCGGCCTCGCGTGCCTTCCTTGATGTGAGGGCTGAGGATGTCGAATGTCGATCAGTCGATGAGCCTCTCTGTAACTAGCGATATGTTAGGCTGTCAGCCAAGGTGGGCATAATGGTTCGGTTTGACCGAACAGAACCGTACCAAACTGAATTAAATCAAATCGAAATCGAATCATTTGTAATTTGGTTTGAGTTTGGTAGTATTCCTCCCAACCCGTATTAAACCGAATCAAATCGAACCGAAATCATATAACCGAATAAAACCGAACTAATCTAAAAATGAAATAATTTCTTATTTTTTTTAAAATAACAAATCAAAACCAACTTACATCAAACTAAACCAAACCAAAATATAAGATTTCTCTCATTAATTTGATTGATGTTAATTTTAGTGTCCAGGACTAGAGTTTACTACAAGAGTTACATTCACAACTATAACAATTATAGTGGTTTAAGTAGATAGTATTTAACTATAATTTATTATCTACTTCTACTATATATTTGGTTCATTACTTACTAGCACCAGTTTTGTTTTTGTTTCGGCTTTATATATGATTTGATTCATTGCCGTTGTTGTTGTCGCTTACAAATGTGTCATGCTTATATATTTTTGGTTCATATGTGTTTTGTTACTATTTGCAAATTTATATCTAACATTATATTTGGTTCATTACTATCGCTTCTTGGTTCATTATTTTGAGTTAATTTTTTTATTTCAATCCAAACATTAATACTTTGGTAAACCGAACTCCAAACCAAACCGAACCATACCAAACCGAAACCAACCCGAAACTTAATCGGTTTGTATTTGGTACATTTTCTATCAAACCGTTTAAACCGAAACCGAACCGAAATCGAAGAAAACCAAATCGAAAACCGAAATGCCCGCCCCTACTGTTAGCTATACGACCGTGTGAGTTTACTATTCTTTCACCTTGGGTTAAATTTGGGAAGTTGAACTCTTGGGGCCGTATAAAACTATTCCATTGGGCTGAAAACAAGCATACTCACATATATTAAACAGAAAATGGAAACTGATACTACCAATGACCCGTTGAAAAGTTCTCATGGCACAACGACGCGATTATTTAGATAATACTCCCTCGGTCCCGAAATAATTTTCCTGTTTTCCTTTCCGCTCTGTCCCGAAAAAATTGTCTCCTTTCTATTTTAGGCAACCCATTACTCAAATACTCCCTAAAATACCCTCACCCCAAACCCTTTAATCATTTCATCCTTATACCTCTCTCTTCTCTCCCACTTTACCCGTCGCTTCTCATTTCCTCTCGCCTGACCCTTCATCTCTCATCTAGAGCCGTCAAAATGGGCCGAAACCCACAGGCTGCCCCATTTAAACCCATTTATTGGTGGTTAGGGTTGTGAATTTCTGACCCATTTAGTTCGCGGGTTTAAGTGGGTTGGCCCAACGGGTTACGGGTTTAAGTGGGTTGGTCCAACGGGTTGCGAGTTGGCCCGCGGGCCAATATACAAACATATAGTTTTGACTTTTATTATCTTCAATATTGTTCTTTTACTACCAAAAACATTACAATTACAATTAAAAAAATTACAACAATTGCAAAATAATTATTATTTCTATAATAAGTATTCAAATAAAATGTTGAAACATATATGTTATGTGACGTTCGATACAATATTTAGCAATTACTAGTTATGATTTACAAATAATCAATAAGGTTTAAATAGATCTTTACTTTTATACAATGAGCATTTTTGTTACATACCTTCTTATAGTTTTCAAATTTTCGTATAACTAGTACTTAATATTTTTAAATTAAACTTAACAAGTATTGAGTTCTCAGTATTTCGATTTCTTATATTTCCTTTATTACTAATTACTAATATAAATATATACTCCAAGGGTAATAACTATTAAAGAATCTTTTTTCATATATTTTTTATATTGACCCGCGGGCCAACCCGTTTAACCCACGGGTTAGGTGGGTCGGGTTAGGGTTGTAGAAATCCGGGCCCGTCACTAAACGGGTTGGCCCGACCCAACCCACATAAAGCATAACTCGTCATGGGTCGGGTCGGGTCAGGTCGGGTTGACCCGTTTGACAGCTCTTGAGTCTCATCTCACCTTCTTCAACCCGACCGTTCATCTCTCATCTCGCTCTGTGTAACCCTTGAGAAACCTCTGAAATCTCCCTCGAACCTTCATGTGTGGCTGAATACTTCATCTGTCCAAACCCTCATCTTCATTTGTACAACACTTGTCAGTGTTTCTAGGCTTCGTTCACCTCCAACCTCCGTCACTGTCATATCCATGGACTCATCTGAGCCAGAGGTTTGCTCTGTTTTTGCTGATACTTGTGATGATATCCTCATGCAACCCTTTGCACCCAACCAATCTAATTCGTCCGTCAAAATCAACGAATCTAGGGTTTTGGAAGGCTCAGATCTGACCAATTTCTCCATGCATGTTGAACCAGTGATGGCTACGGAGTACTCTGATGTCCCGGACACGTATGACAGTGTTGACGAGGAAGATGAAGGGGAGGAACTCATCTCCAGGGTTCGGGCGGACGGGATGGAAGGGTTTCAAACGGATGAAGAAGAGTTGGGTCAGGGGACTGAGGAAGGCGATGGCATTGTAGCAACCTGTGCTCGTTACCCACCCTTGGTTGCTTCGCCGTACTATCAGTGGACGTCTGAACGAAAAGCTTCATTTGATAGCTGGCTCAAGCTGTTTATGCCTAAGTAGGATCCTAAGCTTTGGGACAAGAAGTTGCCCCAGGGGAGTACTCTTTATAATCCTATGTTGTTTATTTGGTGTATTTAACAAGCATTATGAGTATTTTCCTTTTGGTCCCCCCAATTATGTTTTCCGGATGTCTTAGGCACCCCCAATTCATATGGGTTAAGGCGGCTGGCTTTCCTAGAGTTCTTATGTGTTTTTGGTAATGATGAATAGCTAATTCTGTAAGGGGGTTCAATTTAGTGTTAGTGTGTAAGCCATCCCAAATTCCATTGGGTTATGGCGGCTTACATTCCTACACTTAAGTGTGGGTTTAGTATATTCTGGAGTTCAATTTTGTATTGGTGTGTTAGCCACCCCCATTTCACAGTCTATACTTGTCATGCCTCTCTAGGTTTCTTAAGTGGGTTAGGTAATGAAATAAGCAATACACTTTAATATAGGCATACAAAAACTTGTGTTTGACTGATTACAACATTTCTTTTAGTCTTTCACACACAACACCCTATACCTTTGTCCAAAATGTGTACTAAAGTAAAAAAACTAATGACATGTCCCAAATGAGATAAGGAGCCTAATATTTACACAAAAATTAATCAACTGGACCCATGTTCAGTGATGAAGGTGTGGATCCTACTCAACTTCACCATTGAACAGGCTATTATTAGTGTCTTCTCTAGATGGTCCAATCTGTGTTGTCCTTACCTGGAGTTCTGCAATTGTATCATCATAGACTACTTTGTCTAAAAACACTGATCTTGGTAGTTGTCCTTGTGCTGCTGCTAGGTGATCTTTCCCCATGTGTGGCACCTTGTAGTTATCCCCCCCTTGACCTTAAGCCCATGTTTGGTTCAAAGGAGGGAAAGGAAGGGGAGAGTAAAGGAGGGAAGGGCAAGGAAGGAGAAGGAAAGATTTTAACAAGCATTTGTGTTCGGTTGGAGGAAAAGGGAGGAATGTTTAATAAAATAAATTTCCTAATTTACCCTTGTTTGATAAGTAGCTTATCATTGGCAATCCTTTGACTAAATATGAAGTACTTTTTTCACCATTATAGAAAATCTAGTATTACTTTACTATATACGTATATGTTAGATCTAATTGACACAAACCAATTGTTGAATAATTTCAAACATTCGATTATATATGTAGAAGAAGCAATATTATTTAAATTATGAAATAATTTCAATTCCAATCATATAATTAGTCGTTATATAAGAGATTGATTACTTTAAAAATATAAATTTTAATAGTATTGTATTTTAATACTAAATGGCCTTTACATAAATATTAAAAACAACTAAATAGTTTTAAACATGAGTTGTAAAAATTGAAAAACTGTCTACGACAACAAAAACAATTCAATTTTTTTTATTATAAACAATTCAAAATCTTGATAAACTATAAAAAATGGTCCATTAAAAAAGTACAAGCTAAGTCTCTAAAAAGCTTAATTTTTTCAAATATGATTTATTTTTGAGAAACAACTAATATTTCAAAATCAAAAGAAAAAAACGAACTACAAATATTTCAAACAAGCTCTTACCTATAAAATTAAGATTTCAAAACTAAAACTATTCACACAATAAATAAACTACATAGTGCAACCCAAATTTAACCATAATGTCATTATAAGGTTCAAACGAGATGTATAAAACATACTAGTCAAAATATACTTCCATAGCATATCAAACATCATATGTCTAGTTCAATAGCATAAATCATAAATAGTCTTCATATCACAAATGTGAATTATAGAACATTAGATAGTAGGCAGTGAAGTAGACAACTTCAGTGAACTAAGATTGCTCCCTAGAACCAAATGTCCCTCGAATAAAATCCTTGCGATACTCCATTGGACAACCAAGCACCGCATTAAGCAGATCCACATTCATCACAAGTTTGTTGTAATACATGTGGATTAGTGGTGGTTGAAATCCCAATTCCATCAACAATTCGTAAGTCTGGCTTGGAGATATTGGAGCTTTCTTGCTTAGAAGCTCACCAGAAGTTTTGATCGCATCCGCCACCTTCTCAATTGCTTCTTTAATTCCTTCACCAAGAATGTCTTTCTCTTTTGCAATTGATTTCTTGGATTTTTTGGTGGATTTACTATTTGAATTAGACGTTATCTCAACATCATCATCAACACGCACATGTGAATCAGTGGTAGAGTCGTTAATTTAGCCTTGGTAATGAAAGTGCCATTAACCTTGAGTCCCATATTATACTGACTCACGAATGCATCAACCAAAGTTTCATCCATAGCAGGCGTCCAAAATAGCATTTTTGATGAGCTTCCATCACTAGAGACATCCTTTTTGGAGCCATGTTATCTAGAAAAAAAATATCATCAAACCTCAAATCTATTATTAAAAAAGAACTAATAACGATAATATAATAATTAGTTCAGTTACACGTATAATAGTCATTCCTGATTTA